ATAATTACATTGTGCATTCAATAACTGCACTTTAGCTTTGGTTTTGGCAAGTTAAATTGTGTTCTTTGTGTGTGCAAAATAGTGAAATATTAGAAATATAAATTTTATATTTGTTCACAATTTTGTTTCATTACCTGAATTGGTGGACAAATATTTGGAAATTTAATGCATATTAATGACATTCCCTATTTAGAAGGTAGTATGTATTTTTCAACATCTATAATTTTGCAATATTTTTTTTTTTTTTGAGAAAGAGTCTCACTTTGTTGCCCAGGCTAGAGTGAGTGCTGTGGTGTCAGCCTAGCTCACAGCAACCTCAAACTCCTGGGCTCAAGCGATCCTTTTGCCTCAGCCTCCCGAGTAGCTGGGACTACAGGCAATGCGCCACCATGCCGGCTAATTCTATATATAAGTTGGCCAATTATTTCTTTCTATTTATAGTAGAGACGGGGTCTCACTCTTGCTCAGGCTGGTTTAAACTTGACCTCAAGCAATCCGCTCCGCCAGCCTCGACCAGAGAGTGTAGAGGATTGACAGGCGTGATGCCAGGCCCGCCAATTTTACAAATATTTTAACAAATAAACATAAAATCAAATTATTGCTTGGCTCCATTTTTCCTTTTTTTATATATAGAGATAAAACTCATTATTTTGGCCCCCATGCACATTCTGTTTCATTAAGTTTTTAATGTAAATATAATTATTACTAAACTCAAAATTCACAGTGGTTATCAGTGCTGAGTAGGGAAGATTCTTTAGTACTAAAAAATTAAGATTCCCATCGGTGAGACAAATTATAAAGCAAACATAAATGTTTATAAGAAAAATGTACAAGATTAACTTAATGAGAAAGTATAGTTTCCAACCAAGCTTCTTAGTAACTTGATTGAAGTTCATTACATATCCAAACCAAGAATGTGAGTTGGGGGCGGGGTCTAATAGAAATTTAGAAAGGGAGAGTTCTCAAAACAAACTTTGAGCTTTCCTTCCACTAGTATTTATTGAACCATACTATATGGAGAGAGGAAAATCAAGACTAAACAATTTGCCCCGCTGGTGAAGAGCAGATCTAAGATTCAAATCCACTACACCACTACACTACTGAAAATGTTGCATAGCTCCAATCTATTCATTCACACAGCAAATATTTATTAGATATATTTTATGCTCAAGGCATTTTTCCCAGGGGCAGTGTGGGATATATGATTAATCAGACATTTGTGGAGTTAAAGAAAGAGATGTACTTTGGCATCATACTGACTGGTCTGAATTCCAGCCTGTTGGATAAATTACTTTTTAAACTGCAGTTTTTAAGTTAGTAAAACGAAGGAGTTGTTTGAGAACAAAAAAAGGAAAAAGGAAATACATTTCTTAGTGACTAGCAGATAGTAGGTACTCAGTAAATTTAGTTTTTCTCTCCCCAACTCCATTTTGAGGCATTTGCTAGAAGGTAAATAATCAAAGAAGTCATCATAGAAAAGGAGAGGCTGCAATTTATTTTGGGTCATGAGATGGGTTTTCGATTTATTTGAACTGGTTGAGAAGTAGCAGACAGCATAGGTAGTGAAGAAGTATGCGGGGGGCCTTCACTAGATCCTGTCCATTGTAGTTTACCAGGAGGGAGAAAAGTAAGAGCTGTGAACTTCAAGTTGCCTGCTGTCTTAGTACATTTGGGTCACTCTGACAAAGTACTACAGACCAGGTACCTTATAAACAACAGAAATTTATTTCTTATAGTTGCAGGGGTTGTGAAGTCACACGGTGGACAGGAGTGGGATTCTCAGGTTGCTTTTTTAAAAAAAGATTTTTTTTTTTTGGACAGAGTTCGTTGCTCACAAGGTAGTTAGGCCGTGGCGTCAGCCAGCTACAGCAACTCAAATCTGGCCAAGCAATCTTTACTGCAGCTCTCGAGTAAGCTGGACTACAGATGCGCCACCATGCCCTGGCTTTTTATATATATTTAGTGGCATTAATCTTTCTATTTATAGTAGGACGCTTGCTCTTGTCAGGCTGGTTTAAATCTTGACCTCACAATCCGCCGCCTGGCTCCAGAGTGTAGGATTACAGGCTGAGCCACGCGCGCCGAGCCAAAAAAAAAAAACGGAATATTTTTAACTGTAAAAAAAATATATATACTCTATACAGTACAATGTGATGTTTTGATATATATATGATTTGGATTTAAATCAAGCTAATGAACATATTGACACTTACATAGTTATTTTGGTTGGTGGTAGGGTTTATAAGGGTAATACTTCATGAGGGCACCACCTTAGTATTATGATCTAATCACACCCGGAGTAGGCCTATTCTAATATATCAACTTGGGGTAAGATTTCAATCATATAATTTAGGAAACAAACTTTCAGAATTATCCTGCCTACTTATAAAATCTCCTCAGTATACTGTTGGCTCCTACAAAATATAAATATTGTGATTAACTGAAATTCAAGGGTCTTTTTGACTAGGCTCCAACCGCAAGCTTTTCCAGTTGACTTGTTTTTATTATTTTTTTTGAGACAGATCTCACTTTGTTTGCCCAGGCTAAAGAGTGTGTGTGGTGTCAGCCTAGCTCACAGCAACTCAAATCCTGGGTTCAAGGCAATCTCTGTGACTCGAGCTCCGTTACAGGCATTGTGCCACAGCCCGGTTTTGTTTCTTATATATATTAGTGGCATTAATTTCTTGTCATATTTATATGTAGAATGGGTCTACTTGCTCAGGCTCGGTTTTAATCTGGACCTGAGAAATCCGCTCTCCTCGGCCTCCCAGAGTGCTAGGATTACAGGCGTGAGCCACCGTGCCAGACCTGGACTGTGCTATTGATTCATTCAACACATTTCATTTATTCAGAGAATACCCAGGATCGCACTTAAGATCTTAGTGCTAGAATTGGAGGATGTTGGTATGTTGTCAAAAGGCACTGCCCTAGTTTGGAAGAAGATAGACATGCAAACAATTTTAGTAAGTTTAGAAGAGATAGAGACATTTATAGTAGCACTGAGGAAGAAACAATTTTCCATTTAGGATTTTAGGCAGTTCAACTCTAAAATATGAAAATAGGCATATTTGACAGACTACAAAATATACACCATTCTGATTTTCACAATGTCTACTGAAATCAATGGTAATTTTAGCGACGCTTTAGAGTGAAGCCCACAGAAAAAAACAGTGAAAAAGTGTGATTGAATTATTACTGAGTGACCCTTCCCCCAAATCAGTCCTCCACATTGTTCCTTAAAAAATAGAAGCCTGGACCAGGCTCAGTGGTTCATGCCTATAATCGAGCACTGTGGGAGGTTGAGACATGAGGATAGCTTGAGGTCAGGAGTTCAAGACCAGCCTCAGCAAGAGCAAGACCCCATCTCTACCAAAAATAGAAAAAAAATCGCCAAGGTGGAAGTGCGTGCCTGTAGTATCAGCTGTAGTCCCAGCTACTCGGAGGCTGAAGCAAGAGGACGCCCGAGCCCAGGAACTGGAGGTGGCGGTGAGCTATGATGACGCCACTGCACTCTACCTGGGGCAACAGAGACTCAAAAAATAAAAGAAGCCTGGAGACAGTCTAGTCCCAGCTTTTCAAAGAACACACAACTGGAGATATCAAGGACACGAACGCGGATACCGCAGTTCTCCAAGTGCAGTTTATTCCCTTCCCAGCGAGATAGGTTTTAGAAATCCACCTCTCCTTCCTCCCCATTCTGGGGAATATTTTGATGCCCTCTGGCGCCATCCCTAGTGACGTCAAGGGTACAGTTCCGCTCCGTGGCCAATCAGGCGGCCGGATTCCGGGGAAGCCCGGGGCGGCGGCGGCGGCCTGTGCGCGTGCGCGAGGTCTCCGCGTGGCTATATAAACATGGCTGGCGTGGCCGCGCGGCTGGGCCGTGCAGAGCACACGTAGGGGTCTTTGGTCGCCCTAGGCTGGTAGTTTTGAAATTTCTGGCGGGGGCGGCGCTGCGTAGAGTTTAGATCTGAGGTGGGGAGCGACGCCCTTTCGAGACCCGAGCGGCCAGACTCCACCGCAGCGGGACCCGAGGCTGAGGCGCAGGGCTGAGCTGGCGCACGTGTGAGCGCCGCTGAGGGAGCGGCTGGGTGCGTGTTGCTGCCGGCGGCAGCCCCGGCTCGCGCGGACGGGCGGGAGGTCCGGGACGCGCGGGTCTGCCGTCTCGCCGGCGCCCTTCGCTGCCTTCCCTGCCGCGGTCCCTGCGCCTTTCCCCAGCGATGCTGTGGAGCCCGGACTGCGCTGGAGTCGGCTGCCGCTTGCCAAGCCTCTCCTCACCTCTGCTCCCGGAACGGCAGCGCCGCAGCTGCCGCTGATCCCCCGGGGGGATGCCCGCCGGCCTCACCGAACCGGCCGGCTCCGCTCCCCGCGCTGGCGCGAGCGCCTCCGGGACCGTGACCATGGCCCCTGCCGGGGCTCTGCCGGTGCGGGAGGAGAGCGCTCCGGTGGCCCTGGGCGCCGTGACTAAGGCTCCTGTCAGCGTCTGCGTGCAGTCCACGGCTTCCCAGCCCGTGCGGTCCCCCGTGGGGACCCAGGTGACCAAAGTGGCTCCTCTCAAAGTGGCTCCTTCTAAACTCAGCAGCGGCCCCAGGCTGCCTACTCCTCAGATAGTCACCGTGAAAACCCCCAAAGCCACAACAATCCATTTGCCTGCTAATTTGCAGCTTCCTCCAGGTATGTCGATCCCACTTCCAGGCTTGTCTGTGGGTCCAGCCAGTGGTGACGGGAAACGTCGCAGCCCTGATTGCTCCTTGCTGGTAGCTGTATAAAAACTCTGAGCCAAGAGAACCTTTCATAATCTTGATTTTGCAGTACGCTTTCAGGAAGCAGCCTATCGTGCAGTGATTTGGCCTTACAATTTTTGTGTCATTAGTGCATAGTTTTTCTTTTCGTATTTAAGGAAAGCATCTTTTCACCTAAGCGACACGTTAAAGGCTGGAGCAGCATATTCTGGAGGGCCTTTGAGGCACTGGCTCCTGCGTGGGGTAGATAGGGTATAGCTGATGTCTGTTTTCTTGTGGAGAATGCACCAGTTTATATAGTGTTATTTCCACACACTTAGATTATGATGGTTTAAAAAGTGTATCTTAAAAATTCTTGTGTGTTAAAACTCAGGGATTTTTATTTATTTTATTAATATCTTTTTTCTTTTTGTTTTTTTCTTTTATTTTTCCTTTATTCTTAAACAAGAAAAACTCAGAGATTTTAAAATTTAAGCAATCCAGAATAAGTCTACTGCTTTCTAGTACTAGAAACGAATAATGCTGCTTTCTGCACAATCTTGAGATATGCAATGATTGAAACTTTCAGTTAGAAGAATCCCTCTCAGTGGGAACAATTGCCAGAGTTGACAAATAGATCAGAGCCATGCAGTTATATTTGCAATTGAATCTATGTGTAAATGCTACTTTTAATGAGTCTTCAATTACTACCTATCCTAGGGTTTACTCCTCTGTTGGACTGTTTTTCATGATTTACCTAAAGGTTTTGCCTTGTAATAATTCACATATTGTAAATATGCTGGATGATTTTTGAGTGTTCTACCTTTTCTCAACTGAAAGTCTCTTGGAATCTTTTATTATAATTTTGCTTAACAGTAATTGGATCTCTGACCTGCAAACATGGTAAAGAGATAGAAGCATTGGTTCAAAAGATACTGTTATCCCCTAGCAAAATGACAGGGGCTCTTTTTGTAACTAATGTTGTATTTGGTCATGAACATTATGGACAATTCTAAGTTGTCATTCTGCGTGTATTCTTATAAAGTAGTTATAAATGTATTTGAATGAAATTACTCCCTGCTGTCTAGCCACTGAAGTTTGTTTAGAAACAAAGTATTAATGGCAGGGATGCTTGCCCTCTGGGAGACGGAGGTGGGAGGATCGCTTGAGGTCTCAGGAGTTTGAGACCAGCCTGAGCAAGAGTGAGACTCCGTCTCTGCTAGAAAGAAATTACCTGGACAACTAAAAATACATAGAAAAAATTAGCCGGGCATGGTGGTGCATGCCTGTAGTCACAGCTACTCGGGAGGCTGAGGCAGAAGAATTGCTTTTTTTTTTGAGACAGTGTCGCTTGTTGCCCAGGCTAGAGTGAGTGCCCTGGCGTCAGCCTAGCTCACAGCAATCTCAAACTCCTGGGCTCAAGCAATCCTTCTTCCTCAGCCTCCTGAGTAGCTGGGACTACAGGCATGCGCCACCATGCCCGGCTAATTTTTTTCTATATATATTAGTTGGCCAATTAATTTCTATTTATAGTAGAGACAGGTCTCGCTCTTGCTCAGGCTGGTTTCGAACTCCTGACCTCGAGCAATCCTCCCGCCTTGGCCTCCCAGAGTGCTAGGATTACAGGCGTGAGCCACCGCGCCTGGCCTCAGAAGAATTGCTTGAGCCCAGGAGCTAGAGTTTGCTGTGAGCTAGGCTGATATCCGGGGCAACAGAGCAAGACTGTCTCCAAAAAAAAAAAAAATTAAGATAGAGCTGACAAAAGTGAAAACTTGCTGTTAAGTGGTAATGAATCACTTAGTGAGGACTTACTGTGCTAGGCACTTTTTATATATTCTTTTATTCATTGGTCATAATAGGCAGGTAGCAAATTAGGAAAGAGGCCTCCAAGAGTAAGTAATTTGCCCAATACTAGGCAACCCATAGGTGTCAGAGGGGATTTGAATCCAGGTCTGTTTTAACTCTTCCACAGCACTGTGCTTACTTACCACTTGTGTGTGTACAAAATGCTCCTTTGAGTATCAGTGCTAAAAGATTATTTAGAGAATTTTAGTGCCTAATCTTTCATTTTACATACCAATAAACAAAAACTGAAATTTGCAGGAGTTAAATAGCAGCAGACAGAACTACAGCCTAGAACCACAGCCTAAGTTAGTTTGTAGCACTATACTAAAACATGTTATGTTGCTAACCATAGGGAAATCCCCACAAAAGAGAGATAATTTGTTTTTAGGAATTGTTAGTTACAGAGGAGGTGGTAAAGTGCTTTAAAGAAGGCTGCTTTGGGGAATTGCTGCTGATGTATGGCAGAAGAGCATAATACTAACACATTTGTGCCCTTGTTGGTGCAGAATAAGAGAACCAGTAATTAAAGAATGAAATGGAAACACTGATTAAAGTAACTTTTTAAAAAGGTTATGAATCTTGTACTATTTCTTTTGTATACTTTGGATTAGCAGTTGATTACTCAAGAGTGCTTTACATTACATATGTTCTTCATTTTCCAAGGTAATGAATACTTTTAAATATTTGATTTTTTAGTTTCCTCTGAACAGAACTGTTTTTTTTTTTAAAAAATGATACATATGTATCACAGGTTTTTCTAGAGAGCAGGGGCTTGAAATAAAAAGTGTGTGGAGGAGGCACTGTGAGGAAATAAAGGGTTTTTGGTAATTTATTCAGTCTTTTTTGTAAACATGTGGGATTTTATTTTATTTTATTTTTTATTTTTTTTTGAGTCAGAGTCTCGCTTTGTTGCCCAGGCTAGAGTGAGTGCCATGGCATCAGCCTAGCTCACAGCAACCTCAAACTCCTGGGCTCAAGCAATCCTCCTGCCTCAGCCTCCCTAGTAGCTGGAACTACAGGCACGCACCACCATGCCCGGCTAATTTTTTCTATATATATTAGTTGGCAAATTAATTTCTTTCTATTTATAGTAGACATGGGGTCTCGCTCTTGCTCAGGCTGGTTTTGAACTCCTGACCTCAAGCAATCCACCCGCCTCTGCCTCCCAGAGTGCTAGGATTACAGGCGTGAGCCACCGCGCCAGCCAAAAGAAGATTTCTATAGGAATGGTAGAATTTCTATGTGATATATCAAATAAAAATGACTTGAATATTTCTTTGCAGGGTAAACTAAGTATATTTAGTATGTGGCAGAAAATCCAAGCATTTCATGAATAGCTTTCTTTTTTCAAAACACTTCTTTAAAAGGAAATTTCAAATGAATATTTTCCCCAGTTAGCAAAGGTCATTGATGAATAGGATGATATATGCAAATAATTTGAAGAAGAGGCAGCTATTATAGACCTATTAATTGGAGAATACTAGGAAAGGTTCACTGACTTTAGAATCATGACATCACACTCAAATTAGCATTTCAGCCTCACCTAGTTGAGATCACCAAGGAACCTAAAGAACTGCAGATGAAATTGAGCTCTCAGTAGATTCTTCTTCTTTTTT